AAGAGCTAACGTAGCGCAGGGCACAGCGAGAAGGCTATGTTACCTGCATTTGGCAGTCTTCAAGCTAAAGCTGCTCAGAAATAAACCTTTAAAAGTTACCTCTTCCATTGTGGCATCAATGTTCAGGTGAGTACATTTAGAAAGCGGTCAGAAGTGAAAAGACGTTGATAAATGTAGCGAGATGAACCCGACAGACTGTTTTTGCTGAAACAAACAATTTGAAAGCGCCGCCGAGACACTGGAGACGCACCTGCGTGCTGCGCGTGACCTGATGACGTGCACGTTCATGCTTTTTGATTGACCAATCAGAAGCGCCGGAACCCTTTTTGGGCGTGGATATGTATTATAATGTAAATACTACGTTACATTACTATTACTACTGCCAATGATAATAATATTGTTTATGTGTGATATATGTGTAATAAAATTGCCTGAAGAACGTGTACTGTTGTTACAGTAAAGTGTTTGTGTATGTTGGGACATGTTCTGGCTGGATTGGAGTGTTTGCGGAGTGAAGACGTGAAATGGGGGTTATAGATCAATACAAAAAAAACAGTACATGTGTTTACTCTTGAGCAATCATTTCACAATTCACTGTGGTTGGTCAAGACTGCAGTGGCAGAACTCCCCACAGGATCACAACAGCTGTTTTGTGATGTTGCATTTTAATCTTAAGGACTAGCTACTCATTTTCAGTATGGGGATGTTTATTAATTTACCTCTGACTTTATGCATACTGTTTCTGTGTATCAATTTTAGCTCAATTGTGAATGCATCAAGGAGGACAAGGGCAACCGCTGATAACAGGTGCAGTATTTATTGCTTCACTACCTCTTCCAATCACTTGATAACATCTTGATAGCAGTTATTTAATATAGCCTATGCCCCGTGGGTATTACAAGAAAAACTAAGATGATAATGGGTGTTTTTGTGGGCCAGAGAGGCTGGGACAAGGAGGGCCAGAGCTGTAAACAGACCGATACCCATTGATTGTAGGCTGGGGAGGTGGTCATCTTGGACTCCTTGTAACTCCTGCACGGACAAACAGGTGATTTTCACAATAAATTGCATAAATATGTTGTTTAAAGATGTTGAATAAAAATTATGATTACAACTTTTATTAGGGGTGGTTTGTGCAATACCTTGCAACAGCAAAACCCAAACTCTCACCTTAAAACACTGGTTGAAACTGGACAGTTTTTTTGTCAGGTTGCTCAGATCAGTGTACTACAGATAAGATGATCAATAGGTCCAAAGGAAAAATTATTATGCTTAATCAGCACTCCTGGTCCAATAAGGTCAGTAAAAGTAGGCCTTGCTTTTACAATGTTGCTCCAAAATACACAACTCAATACACTGAAAATGTGTATCAAATGTTAAATAGCATGAATTTGTATGGAGATATCTCAACAGTGGTATAAAGGAATAGACATAGTAAGTTTAAGTGCTGACTGTATTTAACTGTGGCTTAGTTCCGTTACCGAGACTTGGAGAAGCCCTCACAGTTCGGTGGCACAGAGTGCTTTGAGACACTGTGGGAAAGGCTGGAATGTCCAACAGCAACCGGACAGTGTATGGTGCCAGATTACTGTGGAGAGAGCTTCACCTGCAATGAATCTGGCAAGTCCCATCAACAACCATTCTGTAGTTGTGATGTACGATAGCCTACATGTAAATCTGAGTGAGTGAGGCTGTCTCGCTGTCTATCCAGGGCGCTGCGTCAGCCAGTCCCTTCGCTGTAATGGAGAGACAGACTGTGGCGATATTTCTGATGAAGACAACTGTGAAAACTTCAACCAAAGAGATGACGTGTGTTCCACCCTACTGCCCATCCCTGGAGCTGAACGTGGCACTCAGGGGTGAATACTGAATAGCTATTATTAGTGTTATTGTTCTTATCCACTTTACTTCGTTAATATCATATAATCACATGAAATACGTTTTTAAAAGCAATGCAAAGCCAGGAATTAACAGGACAGTTGTAAAAAAATTATTTCAATTAGCAGCATCATCAGCACATCAAAATCACTATTAGCTAGCAAATTGCTGTGAAACATTGTAAATATATACACAGAATTTCACTAGTCAGCCTGTGACACCATTATTTTTATTACTTGACATATATGTCATACTTTACTTCATGACTGTTATGAATGATTCTCCTTTGCCTAGCTACAACGTCTTGACTGGAGAGTTTGTGGATCATGTACTGGACCCGACATACTTCGGAGGAAAGTGTGAATATGTCTATAATGGTGAATGGAGGAAATTCAGCTATGACTCGTTCTGTGAGAACCTGCACTACAATGAAGATGAGAAGAACTACAGGAAACCTTACAATTACCATGCCTATCGTTTTGTGGTATAGTAATGTTCTGATTTATTCCTTTGTGTAACTGAATAAATGGACTGTTGACATTTTGACATAAAATATAAAATGTTACAGGCTGAAGCCAGGTCAGAGGGCTCTCAGGAATACTATGAAGATATGGTGAGCATGCTGCGAGCAAGGAAAGAAATGAGTTCAGGCAACTTTGGCTTCACAGTGGGGGTCTCTGTTGTGGAAGTGGGACTGAGTGCAAGTGCGGAATCTGAGTTTTTCAAGAACATAACGCAGCATAAAAGCCAGGTAGGATCTGTAGACCAACAGGTCAACATGCTTTACAGAATAACAAGTGCAATTATTTTTGTCTGGCGTTTTAAATACATCATTATTAATTGTTTGGTAATTTTTTAAAGCAATAGTTTGACATTTTGGAAAGGATGCTTGTTTGCTTTCTTGTGAGTTTACTTGAGAGTTAAATGAAAAGACTGATACCACTCTCATCTCTGTCTGCTCTACCGCCAGACGTCAGTTAGCTTAGCTTAGCATACTGTGGTATCAATTTTCTCATCTAACTCTCAGCAAGAAAAAACATGTATTACCTTAAATGTTGAACTCTGTTTAGCAGTAGTGAGTGTCTGTGAACATAAGCAAGGACATTATTTGGGATAAAAATAAGTTACAGTGCTATTATTATTTTTTCATTATAATAACTATTTCACCCTCTAAAAAAAAAAAAGAAATCACTTATAAAGTGTTACCTTTTTGTTCTCAGGAGCTAGGGTTCATTAGGCTGTGGTCCAAAGTGCAAACGGCCCACTTCAAAATGAGAAGTAATGAGTTGATGCTCCATGAGGATTTCTACATTTCACTCATGGAGCTCCCCGAGCAGTATGACTTTGGGATGTACTCCCACTTCTTCAACACATTTGGCACCCACTATGTCACAGAGGGAACTATGGGAGGAACGCTTGAATTTATTGCGGTTGTCAACAAAACAGCTATGGCCAAGTCAAGTACTGTGGACAATTTATTAATCAATATCATCTAACAGTAAATGTAATGTAAAGTGACCTTTGCTTAATTGTTTCCCCTAACTCGCACAGAACATGAGGCTCACCAAGTTGGTCGATGTATTGGTGGTTCTATTGGTTTAAACCTTCCGATTGAAACTGTGGCCACTGTAGGTCTCAAAGTTGGTGGCAAGGACTGCAAAAAAGGCGGAGATTTTGAAAAGGGTGAGAAATTAGCTAACCCATCCAGAGGTCCTCATAATACTTAATCATTTTGAATTTTAGCTTATGTCTAATTTCCATTCAGCTGACAAGTTATAAAGGATTGCTGCAGTAATGTGTTATCAGAGCTTGTATTACAATGTGTTTTTTTTTTCTCTTTTATTTTTAAATGTAGTCCAGGATTCCAATTCAGATTTAATTGAGGACGTTGTTACTCGAGTGAAAGGGGGGGTCATACACCACAGCAGTGGCCTGTTGGCTATCAGAAACCCTGACACCCACAGGAAGTGGGGGGCGTCCCTCAAATACAACCCAGCACTCATCGAATATGAGGTAACTTACTGGAACTCATATTTAATTATTTGACTTCCTAAAGGTCCAGTGTGTTACATTTAGGAGCATCTATTGCCAGAAATGGAATATATTATTCAAAGGTATGTTTTCATTAATGTATAATCACTGAAAATAAGAATTCTTGTGTTTTTGTTACCTTAGAATGAGCAGTTTCTATCTACAGATTCCATGGGTTGCCTTCCATGGTGTCTGCCATGTTGAACTGCCATATTTTTACAGTAGCCCAGACAGGAAGAAAACAAACACTGGCACTAGATAGGGGCGTTCGATCTTTTGACACATTTTGCGGTCTCCGGAGTTTCTCCTTCGTGCTTGGAAGGGGAGGTGAAGTTGGGACCTGCAACTACACTACTAGATGCCACTAAATCCTACACACTGGAAGAGAAACAAATTATAGTTAAATTCCCAATTTAGGTCATTTGCTTTTCATTAACTTTTCTCTTTCTCTTCTTCCTCATCTCTGTCCTTCCTCACCTATGATCAGACCATGCCAATTTATGAGCTAGTGCGCTTCAGCACAGCCGCCGACCATGTCGGTGCTAGACTGGCTAACCTGCGGAGGGCCTGGGATGAGTATCTGCAGAAGTTCGACTCCTGTCTCTGCGCCCCCTGCAAGCACAACGGGATCCTTGTCTTCACAGGTACCTCCTGTAAATGCCTCTGTAAGTCTGGGTACGAGGGAGACGCCTGTGAAGAGACTCTCAGAAGAGGTGAGACTTTTGTCAAAAGTAAAAGCATTGGAGGTAAACACATTCAAATCATTTCCTTTATTAAAGGAATAGTTTGACAGTTTATGATATGTGTTTATTTGCTCTCTTGCTAAAGGGGGTGAGAAGATTAGCACCACTCCCATACCTGTTGGGAATTTTAAGATGGAGACGGTTATCTTAGCTTAACTAAAAGACTAAAAGCAGGAGAAAAGAGCGAACCTGTTTTTCCCAAAGATTTTTAAAAAAATCTGCCGACCAGCTCCTCTAAAGGTGACTAATTAAGATTTTATATCTTGTTTGTTTACTTTGCACATATACCAAAAGTGTTAAAATGACAAGCTTCTTCGCTGGGTGCAGTGAGTGTGAGGTTGCCAGAAACCTCCAGGAAGTCAATGCACACCCAAGAAATATATTAGCAAATAAAAAAAACACAGCTTGTTGTTTGTTGGATTAAACAAACAATACAGCATGTCTGTTTCATCCAGGTTAGCTGTTTCCCACAGTTTCCAGTCCTTATGCTAAGCTAAGCTAATTGCTGCTTCATATTTAAAGTGCAGATATGAGAGTAGTAAGGTCTCAACGAAAACAAGCATATTTCCCAAAATGTCAAACTACTCCTT